CCGATCCTGGTCACGGTCCATCCTGGGACGCAAAGAGACATACTCGTATTAGATGCCCTCCTTGTAGGCGCGTGTCCGACCCGAACATGTAGTATACCCATCTTGTAGTAGATCGTTTCCCGAGCGGTGTGGCCAGAAAGATCCCGCCACGACGCATATACGACGCACACATAGTATTAGTATGTTGGGGTGACGCCGACATCCTGTCGGCGGCAAGCGAAGGGGGAAGCGAGAAGGAGAAGACCTTCTCAGAAGTCGGCAGGGTTTCTGAGAAGTCCTCGCACCTTCTGAGAAGTTTTCTGTTTTCCAGCAAGGCTTAGGAAACTTCTCAGAAGGCTGGAACGCGAGCGCGAAGCAGTTACTATTTGTAAAGGAAACAATGGTCGAGCGAAGAGTGGTCGCGCACAAGACGCGCACAAGACGACTCGTGCAGAGAAGTGCTTGTCCAGCAGACGTGCGAATACGAGTCCGCCAGTGTGGCCAAGACCTCGCACACGACCGCACAAGACATCCCGCACAAGAACTCGCACAAGACCTCTAGAACCACTGTTTCTGTTCAAAAAATAGCCTCGGCGGCGCGGCGGCGCCTCCCAAGGCCAGCAAGAGGTGGGATGGGAGGGCGCACGGGCAGGATCGGATCCAACTGGAATCGGGGCCGCCCTGGTCGGGCGATCTCGAGGTTTGGGTCGGAAGCTGCCACATTTCTGAGGAAATGGGGGGGCTCATAATTTTGCTTGTTCAACGCAATTTTCTGGGGGAGAAAGAGGAAAGCTGAGGGGACGAAGAGCGCACAGGATCTGAAAGTTCGCGTGCACTCCAAACGGGTACCCGGGCAAACCACAGAGGCGCCGAAAGCAAAACTGGAGAGGAACGCGACATTACTAGTGTTCGTCCCTGATGTGTGGGCATCCCCCTGCGGCCTAACCAGCCGTACAACTAAAATCGCACACAATGGAAGGGAGGAGCGCGGAAAAGGAAGCTGGCGAAGGAGGAAAGGATTAATGTGTTCAAGGGTTGGGAATGAACCCCCCCATGATCTGGACGACCATTCATATAAACGGACATGTCCGGGCGCCTTGTGTATCGGGAACTTGTGTCGAGCGGTTTCTGCGGATTCCGCAGTCCACACTGGCCGCTCCAAAGATTGAAACTACCCCTCGTTGTGCAAGTGCCTCCGCGCCAGCAAGGCGTTCGCGCCGCGGGTGAGAAGCCGAGCTTGTACTGGTGGGTGCCATGCAACTGAAAAAATAATCGAATGTGGCGAGCAAGCCCGGCTCACGTTTGCTTACCCCTGCGGCACAGAGCACTACTTCAGAGGGAAGCTGCCAAAGGTGCACGAACACCCAGCGCTGCGCTCCGCGTCATGACCTCTTGGCCCTGGCGCCGAAGTGGCCCGAGGCCGGCTCCGCCAGTGGGCACGAGGCACGAGATGGCAGCGCAGCTTGCTCCTGGCGCTCGCCTGCGCCTCGGACCTTCGCGCTCTCTGTCTGAGGCACTGCGAACGCAGGGCCTGCACATCCTCGCCAGTCTGGACTGCCTCCGAGCACCCCCATCCGCCCTCGCCTTACAGTGGAGGCCAGTCCACAGGAAACCTTCCACAAGACACCCAAGCCCGAGACCCCAGGACGTCCATGGATTTTTGGTGACGGAACGTCGCGCTCCCCATTGCAAAACCATCGAGGCCGAAGGAACCCAGGGCACCCTGGAGGCAAGCAAGGTGTCCTTCGATGGCCTCACGCGGCGGTTGGCGGTCCCGGGTGCGCACAGTTTGCCCGACGAGGGGGCAAGATCGGAAAGGATCGGTGGATGGCCATGTGTTCGGAGTTAAAGAGGAGGCTTGGAGTGGGACTGATCGGCCCGAATGCGGCCAGCTTCCTAACTCATGGGAAGGCGGCTCCACCCAGCTCGAATTGGCGGCAAAGGGCGGAGGAAAACCCCGCCGGCGCCGGGGGCGTTGCCAGGCGCACAATTGTTGAACGGAATGACTCCCTAGCCCAGACCAAACGGAACATCGTCGACCTGGCGGCTTCCACTTGCGCAACAACCGCCGCGGTCGCGAACAAATACAAGGTCCAGCAAACTGACGTACTACGGTGAAGTACCGATGCTCTATGCTATGCGGCGGAAGCCCTCTGTCGCTTGTTCACATCAGCTACCTTGGGCTGCAGTTCGCTGGAAGCTGCTGCGTGAAAGGCGCTGGTGCGTTGGCCGGCAGCACCACACAAATGTTAGTTGTGCCACGAAGCACTTGAACGATAAAGGGACGTGTTTGGTTGGCGCATGACCCTGGCTGTGAGGGTCATGATGCATTGGCGCCAACACAAACAACGTTGAGATGCCTGTACCATGTTTTCTTGCGTAACCGGGCTAGGCGCGTTAAGCCGCAATCCGTCGTTCACACATCAAGCGACGGGCATCAAGCCTCTGACAAGACAAATCAAGTACACGGCAGAGCGAAGCCAGCACCGATGATGAAGGGAACGCCGACACACAGACAAAGCTGCAGAAAAGCCCGCCGACACACAGATGATGGAAGACCTGCAGGGCAAATGAAAGGAGCGACTTCACGCCTCCATCAGTGGCCAGCTCCAGATCGAGAATAATAGCGGGCGCAAAGCCCAAGAAGCGAAACAAACATGCGCCACAAGAATTAGAGAAGAGGCGTCGTAGTCCCCTGAACTTACCGCGAGAGGAACGCTTCCCAATGGACGAAACCCTTCCCAATGGTGAAATGCTGCAGGTGCAGGTGCAGACAAGTTACATCCAGAGTCAACCTTTCTGGGAATCGTGCTTACACATCTACTCATCCCCCATTTCTCCGCCTCCTCTCCCTCCACCTCCGTCTCCGCGACCCCAACGGGTCCGAGGTTGACCAGGCGAATCTTTTGATCCTGCTCGAGCACCAGCAGAAGGCCGAGAGGCGACCGCGCAGCTGCGGAGCCGCCACCACGAGAGGTCCCAGACGCCACTCGTCGGCCTCGGGATAGCCAACTGGGAGGACTTGAACGCCCACGCCCGGGGAGAAACTGCCAGG